GGAGGGACTCTGATGTAAGGGGGAGCTCTGGGAACTGATGCAAGGAGGGACTCTGATTTAAGGTGGAGCTCTGGGAACTGAAGTAAAGGGGGAATTCTGATGTAAGGGGGAGCTCTGGGAACTCTGATGTACGGGGGGACTCTGATGCAAGTTTGACTTGTATTTTTGAGTTGATGTTATGATAAGGTATCTAAATTGTGTCAGTTATTAGGGGCACAATTCAGTTTTTAATAAAATAAAAGCTGATAGGGGTTATAACCCTTCTGTACTCTATCCAAAACTAAAAAACAAGTTTTGTCTTAATTCTACTTTAACAGTCTCTCACCAGCTCTCTTCTATCAGATGCAATACAATTTGTATCTACTATCTCTATCTATCTATCTATCTATCTATCTATCTATCTATCTATCTATCTATCTGCCAGTATTTGAAGGCTGGAGATCGATAAAACATTTGGAAATGACACCCTGAGCCCCTCTGTGCCTGGGACGCTCTATGTTTTCAGCTACATGACACAATAACAGTCTTTCCATTAGATAATCCCTTTAGGCATTTAAAATGCATTTGTCACCTGTCACTATGAAAAATGCTAATTACAGATTTCAACGGAAGAATCCCCCGGAGGAGTACGATGGAGGCTGCGCTTACAGAATTCCGGCACACGGACATTACAACCTTTTGTGATGGATATTTCTCACTTTTCTTTCGCTGTGTCACCAACTTGCCACAAATCAGATGAGCTGTTTCCACTTTTAGAAGTAATTCATGAGAATGCAAATCTCAGATTAAAGAGAACCAGTCACAAATTAGCTTGAATAAATGCACACACAATAATGAAAGAAAAAGGAGCATTTATTATATGTTTGCACTGGAGTCTGCAAAGCATTGCAACTATGATCGGTGGATCGCAGGTGCAATGCTCAGGCCCCTCCAGACTTTTCCACCAGCCACAAGTTCCAAGGTAAGGACCTTCAGTTATGGGACAGGAGGTAGTAATTATTTTTTTTTTCATCCTTTGTTGAACCTCAGTGCTGCTGCTGATCTCCTGCAACCATGTCCTGTTTATGTTCACCCCAGGGCTCCCACGCTGTGTACGGAGTATGGATAGTACACCTGGCAGCCAGGAAGGAGCACTCGGTTAAAGGTAAGAGTAGCAGAGGGGGGCGGGGAGAAAATCGTTGAGGGTAATTCCATTTTCCCAAATACACCTGGGAAAACAAATTTATTTTTGCTTTTACTTACAATTACTGTTTTTCTACTTCCTGGTTGAGTGAGGCACTGATGATGTAGCCCTGGCCTCACATATTCATCCTGGGAAGGTTACATCGCCTGTGCCTTCCTGGCAAATCTCATCTGTAAGCTGCACAATCTCGCGAGATCTCAGGGGATAGGCGTCTTTTCCCTCTCAGATTATGTGCGCTGTCACATGTTCGGAAGGCAGACCCCGAGTTCCAGGAAGTATAGGGAGATGGATTAATTTGCCCTTAGTAAAAATGGCTACAGTGAGAAGAATGGGGAGGAAAAAAAAATAAGGTATGCAAAGAATATTAAGCCGGCAATTATCTAGAAGTATCTGTCTGTAGATTGTCATTACTAAACATTTCTAAAGGTGTGTTTGTTGTCATTTGTAAGATATAGGTGAATTTCCTCTTCGGGAGACCTGCAGATTTAGAAATATTGAAAGTAACTTTTGACATGACATATAAAGGATAAAGATTTTAATGAATGGAGGCTGTGCATATAACACTTGCCGAGCCAAATGGTTACAATTTTTTTTCAGGCAACAAATAACAGGATCACAAATTAGACATGGGACAATAATGATACAATGTTTCCAAGTACAGGAAATGCTCGATCCCATTCATGTGCAACTGTTCAAATATCCTTAAAGGAGAAAAGCACTCACCTCATAGTTCTAGCCGACCTGTGACAATGAGACTGTCACAGGTCGGCTCAGTAGATCGGGAGCTGAGCGTACACGTACCGGCATTTGCTCACCTCTCGATCCTGTCACGGCTCTCTGCCGTGACAGGGGAGGGGCTGGATTCCCCCCTCCCCGCTCCGATCCGCCAGCGATGACTGGCGGAACGGATGGGGGAGGGGGCGGGTACAGCTGGCTCTGCCTCTAGATAGGCAGAGCCAGCTGTCAGTCACACAGCTGGGCGGAACACAGCACAATTTCACAAAATCTGCTTCAGCTGCGGCGTCTCAGTATACCGCGAGCTAAAGCTCGCGGTATACTGAGCCTAGGGTGACGGGAGGACGCTAGTTTGTGTCCTCCCGTTACCCTAAGGAGAACTATGGGGAAAAGCCTTAACCCCATAGTTCTCCTTTAAAGTGACATTAAAGTCAAAAAATGTCCCCCCTCCCCCTAATGTTAATGTCAGCACTTACCTTAAATGATGTCTCTTAATCTGATCTTCTTCTTCTTCCCTGATGTTTTTATCTGTCCCTCCAGCGGTGCAGCGGCTGTCCGATCCACTTCCTGTCCAACGGTGTCTGCATGCGGGTGCACGCGTCCATAGACTTACCTTGCGCCTCTCCTCGTCTCCCGGCCGAAAATCCGAACAGCGCATGCGCCCGCCCCAAGATGCTTTGCGGCCCGCCAGAGCAGTTTTTCGGATTTTCTGACGGGATCGCACGGCAAAGACGGGGTAAAAAAAAAAACTTTTTGCATCTGGACAGATGTCTGATGTGTGTGTTATAGCGCTGGACTTATTAAAGGGTTATTAAACCTTTGCATGTTTTCGCATATATATATATGGCTAACAAGCAGTAGAAATATGCAAAAACATAATAAAAACTTTTAAAAAGGGTTTAATCTTACCTGTGTCTGCGCCGTGTGCTCCCGTCCGAACATCTGAAGAGTCTCGGGTGGTTTCAAAGGATCTTGGGGGCGCACGCGCAGTTCAGATGTTTGGCCGGGAGACAAGGAAAGACACAAGGTAGTGGAGCAGCATGCACCCGCACAGACTCCGTGGGACATCAGAGAAGAGGACAGGGGAGTCAGCGCTGGATCGGAGACCTGCACCCAGTGCTGGAGGGACAGCTGAAAAGGACAGGAAAGATCAGATTAAGAGGCATCATTTAAGGTAAGTCCTTACAGCAGGATTGGGAAGGGGGAGAAAAATTTGACTTTAATGTCACTTTAAGGAGGAAAATGTTTTTAATGGATATAAAGAGGAGTGTGTTTTCATTCTAGGACGCAGATCCGCAAGCACAGTATGATGTACATGGTCCTTGCCCTGGTCCTAGACGGCTACCTTTCTAATCACAATAAACAAATCACCTTTTGGTTCAGAGAACTTAAAGCAGACCTTTACCCCCTTTTACTAAAAACCCCCTCAGCATGCATCATCTTACATTCATTAGTAAAACAAACATATTTTTCTTTTACTTACAATGACTGTTTTTCCACTTCCTGGTCCCCTTGGGCATTGGTGATGTAATGTGCCCAAGCGTTGCATCCTGGGAAGGTTACATTGCTGGGAAATCTCATCTGTAATCTCACGAGATCTCCGGGAAAGGCATTTTCCTCTCCTGACATGATGGGCATGGTCACATGTCCTAATCATATGTGCCAGAGCTCCAGGAAGTAAAGGGAGATATATGAATCTGCCCTTAGTAAAAAATGGCCGCTGTGAGAAGAATGGGAGGAAAAAAGAAAAATGAAGTATGCAAAGAATAAAAAGTCTGCAATTATGTAGAAGTTTGTGTTTGTAGATTGTCATCACTAAACATTTCTAAAGGTGTCTTCGTTGTCATTTCAAAGATATGGGTAAAGTTCCTCTTTAAAAAGTCTGTTTAAAATGTGCATTGGCTAAGCAAATCGGCTATAGCCAACGCGTCTCATGGGAAGCAAAGCCTCCCCTTCTTCAAGGCTTCAGCTTTGAATGTTAATTAAATCACAATATACAATAAAAACTAGTGCAGCGATGGGCAACCTTGGCACTCCAACTACAAACCCCATCATTCCTTTGGGTGCCATGCCTGTGGTTGTCAGAGTATTGCAAGGCCTCACGGGACTTGTAGTTCCACATCAGCTGGAGTGACAAGATTACCCTACCCATAACTAGCGTCCAGGGCTGTAGCTACCATGGGGCGCAGCTAGGGCCAACCTGGCTGCGCCCCCTCACCCGTGTTGCCATGGCGAGCACAGGGCGCCAGGCGGCCAATACAGCCGCGGCTCGGCAGGGAGAAGAGGAGCGGCACTGGCTCAAGCTTCTCCTCGGATGCCCGCTGCTCTCCCCCACCTGTACGAACAGAGGACTCTGTGTCCTCAATCTCTTTTTCCATTTCAAAAAACGAAACAAATATTTTTATGCTATTTTGGATTTGGCCCCCAGCACATTATGCGCATCGCCATCCTGGAGGTGGGGCGCATGACGTCACATACCGCACACGTCTGTTGGGGGGCACAATTTTCTGTTCTTGCCTCGGGCGCAAAAGGAGCTAGTTACGGCTCTGCTAGCGTCTCCCAATGCCACCAAGAACAGCTGACCGGGTCTTGGTGGCCCCTGATATCAATTAAAAACGCATGAAGCAAAATCACAACCGGCTTGAGACAGAACAAGTGAAGATTTCTCTTCCATTTTGGGGACAAGTCCAAATTTTGGGTTCACCCTCGCTTTCATTCCAATGGAGCTCAGGGCAGTTAGTGAGTGTAAATCTCTGTAGTGGGAACACAGACAAAAACCTGACAGGGGTTCTATTCCCTCACTATGCCATTCAAATCTGCGAGTTGTACTTTAAATCTCCTCGTTGGCAGCACACATCACCCACGTGCTTGCCCCTTCTTAGCAGGTTGCCTGATGCAACCCGGGTCCCGCCCCCTCTGTGTAGCACCCGCGCCACGCCATTGGCTCCACGCCTACCACGTGTTACGCTCGCGCGCTGCCATTGGCCACGGCGGATTCAATCTCTCAGTGCCGATTGGCCAACGCCCACCAGCGTATCCTTGCTCCATCCCCGATTGGGCGCTTGGCTTTCCTTCCTTCCTTTTTTTTCCTCCCGGCCCCAAGATGGCGGCGGACTCGGTGTCTCTCTTCACTGCTATCGGTTTGAGCGAGCAGAAGGCGAGAGAGACTCTAAAGAACGAGACGCTGAGCTCGGTGCTGAAGGACGCCGTGCTGCAGGTAAGGGGAGCCTGTCACAACTTGGAGGGGAGCCCCCTCTTCACTCAAGCGGACCTGTCACTCCAGCAACGTGCAGACTGCCATCTGGAGTCATTGCTGTGTGCTGATGAGGTGGTAACCCCTCCCCCGTCTGCAGGAAGCCGCGGTGCCTCATTGTCATAACCAGCTCCAAGGGCTGAGTATTGCCCAAAGAGAACCTGTCACTTTTAGGGATACTGATTTTGGGGGAAGGGCCAGGCCTAGCAGCTCTGCCATGTGACCCCTGGAGGGGGGGTAATTGCCTAATTGTTATTTATAATATCGACTTTTTATATCTTAGGACAATATGGTGTGGAGTCTGGTGATAACAGGTCCTCTTAAAGTAGTATTTGGCCTCTTGGCCATGCTCTGAGAGGGTTGTGGATGAGGCCTACATTCAGGGGGTGGGAAAGGATTTCTGTTGTTTCGCAACCTATCGGCATACCAGGGAGTTCCAGTGGTTGGGCGGTTCTGAGGGTACCAACTGGGCCGTACAGAAAGAGACTGGGGCCTGCGCAGAAGTGGGGAGCAATGGGGCTGTACTGTGACCTTTCTATTAAAGTGGATCTAAACCTGAACATTAAAAGAGAGCTATGGGGTAACCTTTTGTTATCCCATAGTCCTCTTTAGGGTCACAAGAGGACATATACAAACCACCTCCCCTGACACAAAGCTCAGTATATAGCGGGCTATTGCCTGCTATATACAGAGAGCGCCACAGCCAGGACGGATGCCGACAATACTGTCGAGATCCACCCAGCTGGCTGATTGACTGCCTATCTAGAGGCGGAGCCTGCTGTGCCCATCCGTTCCTCCAGTCAGCGCTGGAGGATCGGGGAGATGATCTAGAAGTGAGCGAGCGACTTTGTATTCGCTCACTTCCCGATCTATAGATATGGCGTGACATTGAAACTGTCACACGTCGGCTCTCACTATGAGGATGAGTGTAAATCACTCGCCTCATAGTTCTTCTGGTCTAGGTTCACACCTGCACGACACCTGGGACGTGCGTCCTGCACAAATGCAGGCAGCGATTGCCGCGTGGCCTCATTGATTTTAATGGGGTGACATCCGCAGAAAAAGGTACAGGTACTTTTTTTCCCTGATGCACAACGTGCAGCTGTTTTAGCCGCGATCGTGTTCGGAATCACGGCGGGAAACCGTGCGCTCTGCCCAGCGCAACTGGGGTGCCATTAGAAAAGAGTGGCACCCACTGTGTGATCGGTTCACACCTTGGCGACTCCTGACCGCACGGTGACGTGTCGCCTAGGTGTGAACTGAGCTTTAAGATCATATATATTGCGGTCCAGTGTTCTGCGGTTAATTAATTTTGAGTGGCCATCAAGCTGATCATGTCCAGGGGTTTGGCTTTAGTTTAGCCATTTGAACGGCCCCCAAGAACACTAAGGCAATGCAACTCTGAGGCCCTGTTCACACTGAGCGGTTTATCGCGCAGATTTACGCTGCAAAATCGTGCATATATCCACACGATATCGCTCTGTGTACTAAGTCCAATGCATGCCAAGGGAGCTGTTCCCATTTACAACTCCATGTCGCTTGTGCAGGACCCTTTTTTGGCGCGGATGCCGCGATTGTACTCAGCCCAATACGAAAATTTGTGCGATATTGTGCAAATGACAAACGCACAACAAACGCTCGATTTGCAATATTGCAAGTGTGAATGGCGTGTAACGCACACACATTGCAGCGCTGCTTGTGGTGTTACTGTGGATTCTGGTGGAAATAAATGCTGCATGTCCATCGATGGCCAGTTCTTGTGCGCCGGCAACTCGTTCAAAATGAATGGGCTACCTTACAGAGATACTCCAGGAATTGTAAAATGTAACCCTTGCAGTGGGGCTACCCTGGCACTGCAAGGGTTAACTGCGCGTTTTGGGATAGGATCTAAAGAAGAAATACATACCTGATTCTCAGTCCCGCCTGTCTGCAAGACCGGTCCCCCCGGGCTCTGGTGGTCTAAGCACCTGTGACATCATCACGTCTAATGCAGATGCATTAGACAAGAGGACGCCGAGGGGGAGAAAGAGAAGTGAGCGCTATCAGGTGAGTATTTTTACTTTGTTCCAGTGGGTATTATGTGATCGGTCGGGAGGAGAGGAAGGCAGAGAAACAACCGTGGTGCTGGGGTCCATGTGACCTGCAGCGCTTACATCTGAATGGCCCGGAAGCGCTACTAATGGCATGTAAGCAATCAGATTTGTGGGACGGAGAAGGAAGTGTTCATCACCAGATGTGGCTTTTGTATTCCAAAGTATTTGATTCATTTTCCACAATAAATATACAGATTATACAATCACTTTAGTGTCACCAAAATAATAAATATACAATTTCTCCAATCGCTTTAGTATCACCAAAACAACGATAGTGCCTCTTCTTTTTTTTTTTCTTTACTTTAACGTACTCTATTTCATATAGATGTGACCAAAAAAACGTTATACGGTGTGCAATATGGTATATCCATTATTTAAAAAATTAATTAGTGAGAACAAATTACACATTAATATGTATAAAAAGAAAAAAAACAGTTCTTGTGTTCTTAAGTAAGTGCCTTTTTTTAAGTAGATTCCCATTTTTCTATCAATATTCAAAAAACTAGGTAAACCCTAGTGGACCCTACCACACTTTAAAGGAGAACTATGAGGCGAGTGCTTTTCACTCAGCTCATAGTTCTAGCCGACCTGTGACAATGAGACTGTCACAGGTCGGCTCAGTAGATCGGGAGGTGAGCGAACACATACCGGCGTTCGCTCACCTCTCGATCCTGTCACGGCTCTCTGCCGTGACAGGGGAGGGGCTGGATTCCCCCTTCCCCGCTCCGATCCGCCAGCGCTGACTGGCGGAACGGACGGGGGAGGGTACAGCTGGCTCTGCCTCTAGATAGGCAGAGCCAGCTGTCAGTCACGCAGCTGGGCAGATCCCGGCACAATTGTCGGGATCTGCTTCAGCTGCGGCGTCTCAGTATACCGCGAGCTACAGCTCGCGGTATACTGAGCCTAGGGTGACAGGAGGACGCAAGTTTGTGTCCTCCCGTTACCCTAAGGAGAACTATGGGGAAAAGCCCTAACCCCATAGTTCTCCTTTTTAATAAATAATGTTCCCTATATTAATGATGTGCACCATCATGAAATCTCCCATTATATCATAGAACCAAAACAATCTATTCCTTGTGGCTGTGACCAAAACACATTATGAGATATACCTTGTGACGATAGCTGAAATCCATTATGAAATATACATTATAAAAAATCCTTAACGCGAAAGCCATTCCCATTATATAAGGTGTTCATGTTTTTTATAAGGTGTTCATGTGTTTTTTTATAAGTGCCTTTTTATTAAACAAATTCCATTTATCCGCTCTATACCCAGAACCAAGTGAACAGCCATAGGAACAGTTTAGACCAGTGCTTCTTAAAGTGTGGGTCGCGACCCCATATGGGGTCCCGCAAGTAAACAGTGGGGTCGCGATCTGGGCTCCAAGCAAGATTTTTTTATTTTTGTATAATGTGCAGTGTAGTGTATTTTTTAAGGTTGTGACCACCGCTGTGCGCGTGGTACCTTCCTGAGCACGTGCGCGCAGGAAGGTTTTTTTTTTTTTTAAACATTGTTGGAGTTTCCTTTAACCCAGCAGCAGTGGAGCACAGCTGCTGGAGGTAAAGGTAAGGAGGGAGAGGAGGAGGGGGCCTGGTAGTAGGTGGTAATGACACACTGACCGTCCGTTCACCGTGGCGGCGGGGGAGAGAGTTGGGGAGGAGGAGACTAGCCTTTTCTTCTTTCTTCTTGGGAGGAGGAGAGAGACGCTGACTAGGGGAGGGGGAGACACCTACCGACATTGGGGGAAAGAGGGGAGAGACACCGTACGACGCTGGGGTCCCTTAAAAATTTCCTCCGCCAAAAAGGGTTCACGAGTGGAGAAAGTTTAAGAAGGCCTGGTTTAGACCACTATGAATCTTACTGTACCTTTTTGTAAGTTACACTATACACTCTACATCAGGGGTGCACATTAGGTAGATCGCAAAGCGAAAACTGGTAGATCCCGATCGGCTCACTGACCTGTGTCCTGTCCTCCCGCGGTACTCGTGCGGCTGAATGTGGCAGATGCTGCAGACAGGAAGGAGAGAGGAGACTTGGGAAGCTGCTGCTGCAGTGGAGGTAAGAAAAGACAGACAGGGGAGAGACAGCAGATAAAGTGAGAGAAGAGACAGCAGATAAAGTGAGAGAAGAGACAGCAGAAACGGGAGAGAAAGAGAGGAGAGAGCGCAAGTAGAGAGAAAAGAGAGGGTCGGTTGACTTCAATGCACTGCCACACCCCCTCCCGCCCCTGAACGCAAGTGTTTTATCCTTGGTAGATCTCATTGAGCTTGTCATTTTAAAAGTAGATCTCCAGACGAAAAATTGTGGCCGCCCCTGCGCTACCTTAAGTGGTGGGCACTATCATATTTTCTCTCATTTTATATTTAAAACATGATTCAGTGACACAAATAAAAAGACAATAAAACAAGACAAAACCGAACATAAAAAGACCAAACATAAAAGTAAAGAAAAAAAAAAAAAACAGGCGTGGCTTTCGAGGCAACAAAGTCTTTAACGGCGTTAACCCTGATAAGATGGCCGGAGTTGGGCGTTAATGCGAGTACATTTATGTGAATGCAACGCACAAGAATGGACAGGTCTGGGTCCTAAATCTGCGATGTGCTGGCACACGTTGTGCAGGATGGTCCACCTTGGTCACCATCATAGTGGACAGTGAAATCAGTATCAGTAAGTGATTTCAGTCCACAAGAGGAGCCAGGACAACTGTGCAAGACTGAAGGGAAGGCCGCAGGTCAGATATAAGGACTGGCTGTTGTCAGAGGTGAAATATGTCGATTTAGGCCACCAGCTTCTTATGTCTTTTGGGGGCATCAGCAGCGAGATCTCCCTTTTTAATGGCTCTATTCCCACCTACTTGGAGTTTTGTATGG